AACTTAAACCAAACATGCCAGATTTCGGCTTGCTTCGAAGGATTTTGAAAATAAACTTTGAATATTCGTGCCTATTTATGGAATCGTGTCTGGAAAAAATGTCAAGTAAAATAAAGAAATGACATGGTAAATTTATATTTTCATTTATCAATCAACTATTTAATTTATTTAAACTAATGTTAAAAAATTCTTTGGACCGATAAAAGATTACGTAAGTACATTGCACTTGAGGTAATAATTTAAAATAAGAATGTTTAGTCTTGTTCTGTTCAAATGTGATGTTAAATTGTCGCGGTTCGATAAATTTGCACATAGATAATAGGTATTAGAAACGATTTGCTGTCTACGTTACGTAAAGGAAAGAGCATCACGATTCATTAACCTTGTTCGATCTCTGGGGCGACAAGTTGTCGTACGAAGCCATTTTCGCTTCGTAAGTTTATTTAGGAAATCCTCCGGTTGCTATCAGCGGTGGAAAAAATTTACACGCTGATTTAATTTGTGTGATTTTAGGACCCAGTCGTTTGTTATTTCTCTCTTGTTATATTACACCGATACATAGGTACTTAAGTATGTACATACTTTGGGAATTGGTCGGTCGCTGTTCCCCCTTACAGTTCTTGGAAATGTTTCCAGTTTGTCTCGGCGGTCAAGTATGTTTATGTTTCTCAATCTAACGTGAGATATCTGTGTGTCGGTGCGTCGTGTTATGGATCTCTATCTTGCTCACGCTCTCTGAAAAAAGAGACACCGAATTTCCTGGAAGATTAACCTCCTTTCAACTTTGGTCAGTTTCGGTCCCGACTGTCTGTCTGCTGCCAATATCCTCCAACGCAACGCACACCAGTCTCTGTCTATGTATGTATATATGTATAAAATGCTTTGGTTTAACGTGCATATTTCATTAGTTGAATGTGTTCTACTAAATGCAAGCGTTCGCCGCATACTTTCGTGTATGTGCACCAGCTTCAAGGAGAAAATGAGACCACGACCGGTTTCTTTGGTATGCCTTGGTCTATATGTATACATGTAGGTACATATGTATGTACTTACCTTCGATTATAAAGATTCGATTGTAGAGAAATCATTTCATTTACGGTCCATTCACTTTTTCTAATCGATATATGTATGTATACCGTACGCAGAGTTCCTATTCGGGGAGTCGAACTTTATTTCGCAATTTGTCTCGAGCAGTCATTCGATCGATATTGTTAGAAACTTTTTTTCTTTTTCTACTCGAATGTCGAATACGGCAAAAAAGAATTTCTGTATTTGTTGGTATCGTAAAAGAAATTGTAAGGTTAGAAAGTGGTAAGATGGAAAAGGTGGCCTGATAATTTATGTAACGACTAATAAATATGTATATACATATGTATAAAGGAAATAGAACATTTGATGTACTTGTAGGTATACTTGTAGATTGTATAAATGATGAAAGTGTGGAAAGAAGAGAGATAAGATGAAAAGGAGGCCAAGCTAAGGGAAAAAGGAACAAGGCACATAATTAGACCCACTTGCCATGTATCAAACTAAACAAGATACGGCTGCAGTAGATACTTATTTAGCGGTAAATAGAAACTACTCTGGCAGTTTGTCAAATCGATAAGTATATTTAGATGCGTCTACGCATGGTAATGTCGTCTGTGCTCTTATCTCGAAATAAAAGACACCGATACCGTTGTGGCTGATCAATTACTTCTGAATTCTTTAAATTCATAATCTTTCTTTACTTAATTCTTAATTCCGATTATTTTTATAATCACGGTAGAGGCGAGACGAACAATTTAAACAAATATTTATTCAAACCATTTTTCTACACGTTTCACAGCCTTTTATTGCTTTCGTTTTCATTGCATTCTATGTTATTATTGTCGCATAATACGAAACCGGGCAAGTTTTCTACAGACCTAACCAACCAACTGCCACGAACAAAAAATAGCGAGCCATACTCATTTAAATGAACTTTTCACGAAATATTTGAACGCGGTTGGAAATTCAGATGTTTGTAAAATCAAACAATGGTTAGATTTTTCTGTTCAGACGTCGATTTAGTGTTCATAATTTTCCTACGAGAGTGTTACGGTATTATTTTCAAATAAAAAATGACCTAACGTTTCAATAAAAATTCGTTAGACGCGGACAGTTTAGTTTACAAGTATCCACGTCTGTATTTTATTAATGGCGTCACGAGATCCATTCATAAAGTGGAATAATAAATATAGAACGGCCACTTTGGAGGCAGCTGTTCACGCGTTCTTTGGTATTTCGTAACTGCATTGCTCTAATAACTGTCCACTGTACAAACCTTCAAACTGTACGTATTGTTATTCGTATAAATGCGAAACAGTTGTGAAAAGAAGCGGCGCGGCGCGGCGCGGCGCGGCGCGGCGCGGCGTCGGTCAATATTTAAATTATACATATTACTTTCACGTTCTATTCGACCGTTTAGGCAGTTATTGCGTGTGTATGGGGTGGGGAAGGAAGTGTATAAGATAGTGGCTTTGTTTGAAATTTGTCCTTATTGTTCTTCCATCTTGGAAGTAATAAAAAGTAAAATGGCACCTTTACTCTACTGCTATTGAATAAACACTGCTTCTTTCTTTTAAAAGGAACAGAGAACAATGTAAAATTAGAAACAATTAAAAAACTCAATGCCAGGATGACCAACTATATTAGACCATAATTAAAAGTAACGAGGGCGGTTTTTTTTAACGATAGACCAATTAAAGAAATCTCTTATCCATCTCTTTGGTAAAAATGGTGCAGACTGAAAAAGGGGTTGCTTGTTAGTTTTTTCACTAGCAAATCTTCCTTAGTTGTTTTAACGGCGTTCCATTGATCCTATTTTCTTTAATTCGCTTAATCGATTCGAGACTTTTGGTCGGTAGTATATTTTCCAAGATAAACATATCGTCTATTTACTCGCAGCTGTCCGAACCGTGGAATAATTTATTTTTTAATCCGTGATGGTGTATATTGTTAAACGGAAATGCTGGATATTCGTTCTTGTTTATCGGCAGCCCATTTAATACCTTTATGATCAGTAAAAATACGCACGGGGAATGTACATATGTATTTAGGAGAGTAGCAGGAATATCTAAAAATACACGCACCCTTGTTACCAACCATAAATGCGTTAAACCGTACGGGTAGCTTGCTATTTATAGCAAGGCAATACGGTCACTCTGATGCTAAAAAAATTTCAACAACTTTTTAACCGCTACTTAAAACCTATGCAATTGCTACGGCAGAGATATTCCAAGTTAAAATTGTTACTCGTTGGCTCGTAGCTCGTTACGTATTTAATAACTGCATACTAAATTCCAGCCTATAATTCGTACCGTTTTTCGATGCTAATTTCAAGTATAAAGTAATAATACTTACCCATTTATTTTTACCCATCGTTTTCAATGGTTTCTTCCGTGAAAGAACTTTTAGAATTTTCATCTGAAAAAATGTTTGGAGATACGAGTGAATTTTTCACGATCGTTTGTTAATTGTCTCAGCGGTACCGCTGTTATTTCTGAAATCGTTAAACGACGTTCTGCTTCATCAATTACAGCTTTTAATCGTTGGAAATGAAACGTTATTGGGCCAGCGGATCTTGGTTCATCGGGAAGGTGAAAAATTCCCGAAATTCTCGAAATTTGGCAAACCATCTCCGACGTTTCGTCACACTTGAAACAATATTCTCCGAACGCGTCACAAATATTTTTAACGGCATGTTGCATTTACTTTTTTAAACTCGTACATGAGCAATTATGTACATACTTGGAGCGCGTGTTTCAGACTGACAAGATATTTCTTGAAAAAATTACTTATAAAGTACGATAAGAAACGACAGTAGGTACTTAAGTACCTATGGGGTGAGCTACAAGTTTCGAGAAAATCGCACATCGTCGATTCGCACCAGCGAATGTTACAGAATTTCAATCATTTTGTTTCTATCTGCAATACGATACGATAACTTTCATGATGCAAGCAATCGCTTATTCGTTCGCGTCGTGTAATCTCCGAATAAATGGATAACCCTGTACCTACATAAGTACGTATGTACCTTGGACCGTGTGACGTCACACAGTCGCGACAAACCAAGTTTTCGTAATGTCGCGAGATATTTTCGAATGAGTTATTCTGGTAATCAGCCCGCGAAATGCACACGCACGCACCCTTTTTAACTAAGAAAACAGTAACGTCGTCGTGCGTATTTACGAGCCACCTACTGCACGACGAGCTTCGTTATTATTTCTGGTATATCTGGTCTGCTCTTTTCTATTATTTCCGAGTAACGAAATTTTTTGAAAGAAAATGATCGAAGCGTTTCTAATGAAATATTTCATCCGATCGAAAATGTGATCACTGATCGCCAAAAGTTGAAATCGTTGAATACAAATAAGAAATAATAGAATAGAATTTGTTTGGGTAAAAGTGTTGTTGAAGGGGGGAAGCATGAGTTTGAAAATTCTGGGAAAGAACGCAACGTCGTGGAAATAGTGTTTACTGGAATGTTCGCAAAACGTACCGTGGCAAGGCAATAAACGATCATTCAAAGATGTTCTTAAAGAACGAAAGCAAACGTTACGTTCCCGAAGAAGGAAACACCCTTCTCGGTCGGGCAAAACGAAACAAACGGATGTTGCAGGGGGACATTGGAAAATCGAATCCGAGCTTTTCATCCGTTCCTTTTCTTTGTCCTGCTTAACAAAAAAACGAAGATATTATTTATATTCGTGTACCATAGGCATTAGTATATAATACATTATAAAAGTGTATTTTATGTGTGCTCACGGCCAATAGAAAATCCAATAGAATTCTGTATACCCTGACAGAAAACCAGGGTCGTGATGGGGGCACCGTTGCCAATATTAACGGGCCCTCCTTTTTCCAAGTGTCCTGGCCGATCCTCCTTTAAGCACATGGCATGGCCTGCTTCAGGCATTTATTTATTTCTACGTTTCTAACACAATTGTTATTCACGTGTCCTTTCGTTTTATTTTTAGGGTGGTTTCGCGAGGGTGTACCTGATGACCGACGTCAGCAATGGAAACCAATACGCCTGTAAAATAATTCCAAAAAATCGAATGCAAAAAATTCATATGCAAAAGGTTCGTATAAGAATATCGATTAATAAAATAACCGACGTACAGGAGGGTGTGTCGGCCACCCCTGGGAGAACATTTTAATGGGGAATTCCGGAGGGCAAAATAAGACGAAAATCAAGGATACTAATTTGTTGATCGAGGCTTCGTTAAAAAATTATAGAAACATTTCCGACCACACTAAAATAATTTTTCCATGAATGATTTGAAATTTTGTTAATAACTTTTTAACGAAACCTCCTCGATCAACAAATTGATATTCTTGAATTTCTTTCGTTTTATTTTGCTCACTAGAATCTCCCATTAAAATGTTCTCCCAGGCCAGTGGCCAAACACCCTGTATAGTGGCGGTCATATACCGTATGTACTTTCGGACAATCTTTAACATGAGATTTTCTTGTTGGAAATATCGTAGAGAGAGAATAATTTTATAAAATATTATCTAGTGCCTGTAACCAACAAAGTCATGTAAATGATACAGGTTGGAATAATAGTATAAACGCGTCCGCCGCTCTAGGTAGAATTTTGTAACCGTGTGCCTGTCTGTCGTTGTTTCTAAACGGTTTCACCGCTATGAGAAACATAACAGTAAGTAAGAGAGCCGAATGGTGCAGAGATCGCGATTAAAATAATCGTTAAAAGTTTTTCGGGTGGCCTCGAACGCTCAGCGAGAATAATATTGATCTATTCGTTGTAGATCGCACGAGAGATTATGATCCACAAAGAGCTGAATCATGTGAATGTTGTCCAGATGCATCACTACTTTGAGGATAAGCTTAACGTGTACATGCTTCTGGAAGCCTGTCCTCGAAAGGTATCGTATGTCCCATACCTACCTGCTTGCACAGTTTCCTACGGTACATTCTCTCTATGTATACGCTCGCAAGAATTTCCCAACCTTCTCCTTTCGAGCCAGCCAGCCAGCCAGCCAGCCCCCCACCCGATCCCCCTTCTATTCGAAGAATGAGAGAAGTTCGCGTATACATATAGGTACCTGTTAGATAAAGCCTCGTTCTTCCGAGGAACTTGGTCAGAAAGATCACCGAGAGCTCTCTGAAAGGCCCCCAGCTTACATCCGACTCTTGAACAATTTATAGCCCATTTAAAGAAATAGAATTGCTTCGATGCTCGTTCCCCTGGAAGCCTCGAGAATAATACGTTCACCTTCAAACAGACATTCCTTCCTTCTAAACTATTAAAATGGATTTGAAGGTTCTTACACGATCAGCTTCAAACACTACTCGCGACGCATCAGAGATACACAACTCCTTATACATATGTATGTATTACTTAATTCCTTTTTTTTGTTTCCCCCTCTTTATTTTGTAACATACATATAACACGAGAGACAACGAGAGTTATAAAAATATTTCACGGTAAACGTTATAAATGAATTGTTACGCGTTGGTTTTATTAATTACAGCGAGGAGCAAAATTGAACGAATATTTTGGCCAGGAAATGTGTCATTTATTTATCTTCCTACTTTTATTCAGCTTTAACGAATCTGTAAAAGTGTTATTATTTTACGCGCATTCATTTTACGATCATTCGCGTCGTCGAAAGCGCGTAATTTAACTAGAAATGAATTGATTTTGTTGTTTAGTGTCGGTAAGAGCTCGTACGGCCAGAAAAAGGAACAACCACTTGCACTCTCCGCGGCTGATCTGTTCACTTGTTTGTACCGTTAGGATGTGCCGGATCGTCAGCTAATCTCTTGATTATTCCACGCTCGAATCGTTTGCATTACCAATCCAAACATTTCTACGCGTAACAAACTATTAAAAAAGTTATCGAACCTCTCGCGGTATACATTAGTTACCGCGCGTTTCGCACGAAGTACAGATACTTACAATTACTTGGCGAAATCGCTTTTCCTCGTAATATTCTTTTCTCGCGAACGTGTTTCCAATTATGTTTGTCAACTAGTTTGTATGTTCGGCGATCCTTGTATGCACATAAATGCCCCGTGAAATTCGCGGTAAAATAATTCCCATTGTCGTAGCGAGTATGGTAGAAATTACATTCTCTCTCTTAACTATGTATATTCTGGTAACGATATAAGGCCACGCCGCGCAAACATCGCTCTCAAAAGACAAGTTATTCGTTATGGTTTCGGTCACATAACCGGTTAATGTCTCGCATCTAACGGGTTTCCTTTTTTCCTGCTGAAAATTGTGATTTATCAACACGTGGACGCAGAAAACATACGTGTCAGTTTTCTTTTATAGCGGATTAATCAATTTGACAATCCTCGTTCGACACGCGACAGGGGATAACTGTTGTTTCTGTTTGACAGAGTTTGATGCACGTGCTGAAGTACCGTGGCAAAGTCACGGAACCGGAAGCACGGTATTACATGAAACAAATGGTAACCGGGGTCGCGTATATTCACTCTCAGAAAGTTGTTCATCGAGATTTGAAGCCAGGAAACATGTTCCTATCGGATCGCATGATCGTCAAGATAGGAGATTTCGGACTGGCGACGAGACCGGACGGACAGCGCAGACGAGTGTAAGTTTTTTTTATACATATGTACATATGTATAGGGTGTTTGGCCATCCCTGGGGAAAATTTTAATGGGAGATTCTAAAGGCCAAAATAAGAGGAAAATCAAGAATACCAATTTGTTCACGGAGGCTTCGTTAAACGGTTATTAACGTTTGAATTTTTTTTTTTGAATTTGACGATTTGAAATTTGTTAATTTAATCTTGTTAATAACTTTTTAACGATGCCTCGATCGAGAAATTGATATTGTTGATTTTCGTCTGTATTTTGCCCTCTAGAATCTCCCATTAAAATGTTCTCCCACGGGTGGTCGTACACCCTGTTATACTTGTGTTGAAATTAACAGGTACTTACACGAATTCTATATCACGTATTTTCACTAACATCGATACTCTCTCTTCTTTTATTTATTTTTTACGTTGCATTCTTGATCCAATTACGATAATAATGTTTCGACTAAAAGTAATAATTGTATAAAAAGAACGATGTATCGTGTAGATTATATTTCTAATCGTGGTTCGATTCGACGTTAGAGATAGATATATTTGTTTGTATGCGTAGGACAATATGCGGAACACCGAATTACATCGCGCCGGAAGTGTTGTATAAACAAGCGTACAGTTACGAAGCGGATGTTTGGGCTCTCGGATGCATACTTTATGCGCTGCTGGTGGGCCAGCCACCTTTTGACACCACCACGCTAACGGAAACTTATGCCAGGATATGTAACAATCATTACCAACAAGTTGACGACACGATGGCGAGTCGAAGCGGGCAGAATCTCATAAGATGGCTTCTCCAACCGAATCCTGAACTGAGACCGTCTTTGGAAAGGGTGAAAGAACACGCTTATCTCACCAAGGAATACGTACCAGTTTCCTTACCTCATACCTGTTGCTACCAAATGCCACACGCCTCGATAATCGATCCCATGGCGTCGCCCTCTTCCAACTCCACGGCTTCTAGAAATCAGAAATTCAATAAAAATCAGGTAAATTTCCCTATTAGTCGTTTTACCTTCGATTATTTCTTACAGAGTAAACCTTTTATTTTTTTCTGCCCTCGTCGGTTCTACGAACATTTCTTTTCATTTCTTTTCTACATATAATCAGCTATCTCGAATAAAATGGTGTGAAATACGATTGTTTGAAAACAAAAAAAAAGTTGAAAAAGAATGCAAGATCACGGACTTTGTGGGAAAAAAGTAATTAAACTCGAATACTTGGTCAGCTTAAAATCTTTTCCCTCTCGGCTGAACGAATAACAATTGTCTTACGTTTTCGATCGAATACATATGTGTAATTCCGAGCCATTTTTCGATAGATTGATCGCTGGAGGTGAAAGATGGATATTATATCGAATGACTGCGAAAAGGGCTTTTCAGGGGTTTTGGTATCGATAGAAAAAATCGCGTTATTTTATAGAAAACTATATGATCGATTATATTTAATTAGAAGAAATTTATAGTGTTGCAAATAAAGCAACAGTGACATTTAAAATTACATCAGGAAGATTATTGCAAGATTTTGAAATTATTTCAAGATGAAACGACAATTGATCGTATATCGTCGGATGGCAGAGCATATTATTGCAAGTGGAAAGGGCTGACGTAAAAAAAAAAAAAAAAAATTTCTAGATTGCCACCCGCAGAAAATATGAACGAGATAAAATTAGTCTCGATTATTGCTACAGATTAGCGCAGATTATATCCGGAAACGATACACGACGCAGCAGTATTAAAAGCAAGAGCCCTCTGAACAAAGTATAAAGATCCGAACAAACGCCGGTAATTTTGACAAAAAAACACAAGAAGATAAAAAAAAAGAAATTAAATCGAACAAATGATACACAGATAATCACGAATATAACTCAACGAAAGTATAAACAAGGATTCGAAACAATAAACTAAACCATCATCGCTCCCAACATTAAGTGAAAGTTGTTTGGAAATTCAACTGCAAACTTGTGCGATTACACCTTAGAAGAAAGAGCGGAAGTTATTTACATTCACAAATTTGAAAATCAATATTATGCCCTAAGAATAATATAGAATAATATTTTACTCTATTTTATTTATAATATTTACACTGTATGCGCAATAAAAAGATATGTATTGTATTTATTCCGACTTGCGTATTTTTCGATACCGTTTAATCGTGACTTGTAACACTTTAATCCGTCTCTAATCATTTTTACGGTTTTTTCCCCAGTCGAACGAAACAGACAATTTTCAAATTGTGTTTCGAACAGTAATGAAATATTTCATTTCGCTTTTCATTTCATTTCTACATTGGCAAAATGTTTTTACATGCTTTCAGGTTTGGCCGAACATATTATCGCAAGAATTATCGCATCGGTACCAGCAACAAACAATGCATGTGCAGCAGTCTCAGCAACCGCAACAACAACACCACCAGCATCAGCAGCAGCAGCAGCAGCAGCAGCAACAACAACAACAACAACAACAACAACAACAACAACAACAACAACAACAACAACAACAACAACAGCAGCAACCGCAACCGCAATCGCAACCGCAACAGCAACATCAAAGCAACAGATCTCGGAAAAGTTTGCGAAAAGGGATGAAAGTGATCAGTTGGTTGGCCAAAAAGCTTCCGAAAGTTCCAAAATTCAGACAACGATTGAGCAGCGTGCTTTGCCCGGACCACAAAAAGATGGGATACGTGGCTCAAAGTGTGCTGATGCACCGAGCATTGGAGGCATGCATCGCCGAAATAAAGCATAAAAACATGTTAGAAAATCCACCGTCCGTAGATGACGTTGTGCCCCTTTTCATCACAAAGTGGATCGATTACTCCAACAAATACGGCCTAAGTTTTCAACTTTCTGACAAGTCTGTCGGCGTTCTCTTCAATGACAATACGAAAATTAGTTACACACACGACAGAAGGTCGGTATCATTGTTTCAGTGAGTTTTTATATTTTAACAACATTATTAAATTAAATCGGTTTTTCGAACAAAGCGAACAATTAACCAGAGCAACGATTGATATTAGGCCATCCGGTATCTCATCTGATCGGTAACTCTCTTTTCGTTTCGATAACACCCTTCCATCTTTTTCACAAACCATTATACCGTCCCTACAAAACATTCGTAATTCTATCATTATTTGCTTTCGATTCAAAGTACAAAGTAAGCCTTGATTAAATCTAACTTGCGATAGATATCCTTGCGGTGGTTCTTACTTTACAGTTCAGCAACGTTTTTACTTGGCGTTTTTACGTATAAAATCCATTTCTCATCTCCAGTTACCAAACGCTCGAGAAAAAGTCATAAAAATGTTTTAGAGATGTAGTTTTGTTCCGAATTGCCATGGGACATCCTCTGGATATTCGCTGAATCAAAGCGCGAAGCGTTCAATATCCGATTTAATTCAACTTAATTTGTTTAAAAATACGTTTCCATTTGCAAAGAAGGGTGGAGTATATGACTACCGAGGACGAAGTAACGAGATACCATAGAGAGGACGACGTCCCTGCCGCTCTGCAAAAGAAACTCGAGTTGCTCCAACGTTTCACCCAATATATGGATAATTACATGACCGAAGGTACAATTACATGAAATAGAAATAAATTTACTCTGCGCAAAAGACACTTTACGAATAATCCTATAACTTTTAGTTTTTATTATTATACGCAACAGTCGTTAACGTTAGATTCTTTTGTTGATAATCGATACATGTATGTACATACCCCGTATCGTGTACGGAGGCTAGAAATAAATCTCCATCCATTCTGATTTTTTAACGGCATAGTATAATATTTTTGACAGATGCACTGTGACGTTTTTTTAGACAATGAAAATTTAATTATACTATAGCGTAAGCACGTAATTAAACTCTGTTAAAGGTGGTGAAATTAAGGAATATCGAACCGTTTCGAAGCAGCCGAAAAACGTTTGCATACCGCGAATGAGAAGATGGTTGCGAACAGACAAGACTATCGTGATGGAATTGACGGTACCTCTTTTACAAGTGAATTTCTTCGACGATCATACGAAACTGGTAGTTTCGCAAGAATCGCCTAGCAGAGGATACTTAATTACGTACATCGACACTAGCAGACACACGTCTTCTTACTGGTTGAATGATCTCCGGGATTTCGGCTGTACGACTGATCTTTACGAACGTTTATATTACGTGTGTAAGGTGTCGAAAGAGTTTGCAGAAATGCAGAATAATACGATCGCTTGACCATCAAAAACACACAGGAAAGTAGGTACATAGCTCGTTGAAACCATGAAGTTCATCCGGCGCAAGAATCCGTGTCTTTCGTTCACTGCACCCGTGCAACAGACAATTTAACGTATTTCTTTCTTTCCTATTCTTGACAAATTATCCAAGACAATTTGTTGAATTTTATAATATAAGAAAGTTATTACAAACAATTACCATTTTATCGCCTAAATTATGTTTATTTAATCGTTGATGAACGATGATCGCGTAATTGCTTCATTATGTATATTTCGTGGTTTAAGCAATGCATAGGCATTTCATTTTATTTACACGAGTATGTTGGCTGAATTTTTATCGAATTGTTGGAAAAATCTTCGTTACAAGGAAATATTTATTACGTTTCATATTTTTATTCGAAAGAATTCTTACGATATTAGAAAAACTTTTCGATGAATGCTAAAAGGAAAATGTATATATTATATGTATAACATGCACTTGATAACGTATTTTATTATCTAGTATTAATAACATGATGTCTAATGATAATAAGTACTAATTTTACATCGTAGTAAATATTTTTATATAATAAAAGTAACAAAGTAAAATAGTTGGTAGTATATGAAATGAACAAGTATAAATATAACAATGTTATAAAAGTGCTTTACCATTATATGTATGTACATATAACGAAAACGTGTAGCGGTTCGATATGAAAAAATAATTGTTGGTAATTACACATTACTAATTCGGTTTCCAAGTTTGATGAAAGTGTTAGGTGGTCTGGGTGCAGCTGAACGAAAGACATTGTTGAATAAATGTATGGAAATGTCAGGTACGCCATGTTCAGATTTTACGAACAATTATTTCGTTTACAAAGTATAAAGAAGTTGTGATACATTATGTTTTTTTCTATGCGGTTAAACAAAATCCAATAAGTAGTTAACAGATAATCATTGATAGAAACTTGATTAACAAGAGACACTGTTTTACCTCGTTTTTGTTCCTTAAATGTTTTATAATCTCTATAGTCGTTTCCATAGATTTTTAGTTACGAATAAACGGAAAATTCTGTAGAACCTGATCGAGAGATCCAGGTAAAGATTCTCTTTGAACAATCGTGTTACTTGCATTTGGTAAGAATTTTATTTGCAGTGCTGTCATCGATATATGTATGCACAGTAGTGTGAAATTCGAAAAATTATTTAACGCAGTATCGAACACGTTATACCCCGTGTATACACTTGTTACAATTACACAAATACAAAACAAATTCTTAACTTAAAAGTACAAAAATTCTGCACATAAAAATCTGATTTTAGAAAGAATTATCATTCGCGTTGTAGTCTGGAAAAAGTATTTAATTAAAAAGTTAAAGCTTGAAACAAGTGCAATACATACACGCAAATACAAACAATTTCTTGTTTATTTTTCTATATTTTTTAGATTTCGTGGATTTGCACCGAATCGTTAACAGATATATAATTTGTGTGGTAACATTGTATATTGATTTTAGTTTGGTTGTTATGATTAGAAAGAAGGTTAGTATGCTTGTTAAATATCTTTACCATCGAGGACATTTTCTAACGACGAATGTTTGTTTTCGTCGTGAAAATATTCTTACCGTTTGTGAAAAGTTAGATCAGGGCTGTCCAACTTTATGCTCAGGAACATTATTGTTATTATATAATAACAAAGAATGAAATAATAAGAGATATGTATTAGAAATGGTCGAGACTAAACAAAAGAAAAAGTAAACGCAATGAATATTATTATTCGATTACAGTAGTAGAATACTTAATAATAAAAACGAGTAGCTAAAGGAGAAAAAAGTGAAATTTTTCTCGAGTAAAAGAAAGGTAAGAGATGTACCTACTAGGGAAAAAACATTTTTAAACAATGCCGCGAAACATTCGTAATCCAAGTGCCTACATTAAAGAAATCTCTTTGTATCGTAAATGTAGATTTTTGGTACTTTAGAGGAACTTTATTTTTTGCGAATTAATCGATGATCAGATTGCAAAGGAATCGGGGGCACCAGTTGGACGGCTTTGTCGTAATTATTCCAAATTCCATCTATTGTTTGATGTATGTGCACACACAGTGAACACACATAACGTTAAGTGGACCAATTTAATTGGCTTATGAGCGACGTACCG